TGTTCAAAACTTTCTGTTGGCACTGGATCTGTGTTTAACCCAGTGATCTCACCAAATTCGAGTAAGCTAAACCTGATAGGTTCATCACCAACTAGACTCCAAATCTCCTTCAAGTATACTCGAAGCTGTCGACATAGTAGATAGTGGACAGTCCTACCAGACCACACGCTTTTGCGTTCAGCTAGCTTCACAATAATTCTAAGAGGACCCTGCCTCATGTGATCCCACACATCCCGTCCTATTGCTTCTCTGGCATTAGGGAAATCTCCCATCTGCAAATTGTGATTAATCTCTTTATTTTCTAGATTAGAATCCCCTTCAGCGTAAAGTCGTGGAGGATAATCCCGTGCTTGATCTTCAGAAATAGCCATCTGATCCTAAAACACATATATAGATAAATCAGCCGCAATAGAAACGAAACTCAGCAACAACATAATAAATAGCCCAGCCACCATATCAATAACTCAGCCAAAACATAATCAATAACTCAGCCAAATCATAAATAATAAATAACTCAGCCACAACATAATATATAACTCAGCCAGAGTAATCAATAACTCAGCCAAAACATAATCAATAACTCAGTCGGATCATAATAACAACTCAGCCACTTCATAAATCAAACTCAACTCAGCCACACTATACAATAACTCAGTAACAACATAATCTATAACTCAGACACGTCGTAAATCAAACTCAGGCACAACATACCAGAGAAGATGAGAAGATGATGTCGTAGATACAATTACGTCGAAACTTTTGCGGAGAAGAGGATGTCGACGAAGATGATATCGGAGACGGTTAGGGTTTAACGAGGTCGACGAAGAGGATAACGAAGATGATTTACGATATCGGAAACAGTTCGATACGAGATTATTAGTTGTGACGAAGAGGATTTCGTGATTTCGTAATCGTTAGGGTTTAACGAAAGTTGTGACGAAGAAGTTGTGACATTAAGACTTTTTTTTGTTCCCCGGAGATATGGGACTGTTGATTTTCCAGTGTAACTGTTGATGACATAAATTAGTGACGTGGATTGTCAAATTATGATGTGGATTTAATAATTAAAATTTGTATCAATAGTAACANAAAGTTGTGACGAAGAAGTTGTGACATTAAGACTTTTTTTTGTTCCCCGGAGATATGGGACTGTTGATTTTCCAGTGTAACTGTTGATGACATAAATTAGTGACGTGGATTGTCAAATTATGATGTGGATTTAATAATTAAAATTTGTATCAATAGTAACAAAATTAAACAAGGGTGTTTATTGTAATTTACTAGGAGTCTAAAAACATTATAGTAATTTTTAGAAAATGTATAATATTCTAGTCATATACCAACTTTTGTGTATCATTCTAGTAATTTTCTCTTAAAAATAACTCTGAATCCTATGTGGCATAGTTCTTTGGCTTCTTTTTCAAATCTCAAGGATTCTAGAGCATGTGATATAATGTATAGTCTAAAAATTATACTTTCTAGCAATATAATATTTCGTAGGCTATAGTTGGTCGCATATATCAAATATTTATTGTTTCGCATGCTTTCCTTAAATAAAACTTACGGAATTACCTAATGTGATTAAAATATATATGACAATTAATGATTTTAAACAATAAAGATTTGATAACAGTCTGTATACTTTTTCTCATTTTGTTTATTTCTTTATTATTAAAATAAATTACACAATTACATTAATCATATAATAAAAATCTAGATTTTTTTTTGTGTATGTTGTAATTCGGATTTTTCAAAATGAGTATAAATTACTAAAACTGTTAAAAGTCTCACATAAAATTTTAGGATTAAGGTTTTAATTTTTTTTTCTATATTAAAATATAATGATTATAAGACCATATGAAGAAATAAATTTATTTTATATATACTTCATATCGTTTTAATTAAACTATACATCGTATGAAAATACATACTTATATTTTGATATTTGCATTGAACATATATTGAAAAATTAATATTTTAATTTTGAAATATGTCATTGTTTTTTTAAAATGATTATAAATTATTGAAACTACTAAACATCTCACATTAAAAAAAAATTTGGTGTAAAGTTTTGTTACACAAATATGCAAATAATCATAAAATCATATGAGTAGAAACCTCTTTTAATAAATATCCATATTAAAAGTGTGCTATATTAATATGTTTATATCATTTAAATTTAATTATATATCATATATATAAGATTGATTATTTTGATTTATTTACCCTAATTTCGAATAAACAAGAGTGATAGTTAAATTTATATGCATATGCCAATTTATTACATAATAAACAAGACTGATTTCTTAGTTATTTAATATATATTTATTATTTTATTATTTTATATTATGCAGAAAAATATAAAATAATAAATAAATATAAAATATTTATTGTGCATAAAGTGCATATCTTAACATAAGTATGTATCTCTTTAATTATTTTAAATCTTAAGTATTTTTTAAATCCCATGTCAAAACAAACAAAGGAAATGAGAATAAACTTCAAAATAAATATTTATATCAAATAATAACCAAAATAGAAAAAACACAACAAGAGAAAAAATTGAAGATAAATAGGATTGACACGTGAACGTAAACTTCTCATAACCATAATTAGTTTTTAAATTGTTAAATTATGATATAAAACTGAGTTAATGTTTAATTTGTTAATTTTCATTTTTTTTTAAATTTTTTAAATCCTTATGGTTATGTTAAATCATGACCATAATTAATTTTAAATTGTTTATTTGTATTTGAAAACTTAAAATATTGTTTCTAAAAATAATTTAAAATTTAACTTAATTTTTGTAATTTTTTTTTAAATGTAAGAAATATAATTTTCTAATATTATTAGACAAATAAATAAATTAAATTAGTTTTAAAACTTATATATTTTAAATGAAAATATTTTACCAACTGCTTCTTAAGAAAGCATTAGAGAACTTGCTAATACTCTACCAATCAACCCCAGTGACACTCTGTTTATTTTTCATCACTCGAACACTGAAAAGTCAAAAGATATATGAAGTCGGGTCCATTAAATTCTAAGCTTTGATCAGTTCTAATTACAATTGTTTATGATTCTACATAGTAGATAATTATATAAAAATTCCAAAATTCTAAAATTTCAAATACATATAAAAACAATCATATGTAAATTTTAAATTTGTTAATACTACAATTTTATATTTTAACTACATATATTTACCTTACGCAAGGTGCAAGTCTTAACCTAGTGTATGTTGTAAAACATGGCCAACGGTGAGACTGGCATCTTGGGAGTTATAAATCAATGCGAGATCACGGGTTCATATTTAGGTATCCAATGTTGATCAATATCTGAAAGCATCTCTCATTTACATATTTTCTTAGCCGTGTTTTTGATTTGTTTGCTCACACAAATGTATTGCACAGAGACGTCATAAAGCTGTTTCGTTTCAAACTCTGTAGATTCCAGAAGGATCAGCGTTCTGCACAATCCACGGGTGCTCGAGAAGTTTGTGCAATGGCAGACGTTGTGCTGACTCCTTCACAAGCATCTATACAATATAAAGTTGAGGAATATGTAATCTATCAGATTCACTCTTCAATGACTGCACCAAATTGTATAAGACTGAAGGTATATAAAAACCTGGTTGATTAGATCCTTTTCAGATGCAGAGACAACTGGTTTAGGAGGAAACTTGAGGTCGACTTGCACAATCCTTTTATAGATCATATCTGTTAACAAAATCATCAAGAGCAGAAAACAAACACCGATAAGAAACATTACACCTTCTGTATGTGTCTGAGTGCTCTATGGCTTCAAAAGGAGGCACACCATAAAGGAACTCGTAAGGAGAATCCCTAGGCCCCAGATATCTACACTTGCATCATGTTCTACGAAACTGTTACAAAAAGAATCAATTGGTCATTGTTAAAATTATATCATATCACAGCAGAATCTACCCTATTAAAATAGAGTCATTCTTTTTATCTACTGATATAAGTTGTCATTTAAATTTAGACTCTTTCTAGAGTGTTACAAATAATACAAGTCATATAGTTGATTGAACCACATTACTTAAATTAAACCGGCAGTTATTTATGGAATAGAGTTTTGGGCTTACTTTTGTATTTATGACAAATTATATAGTTTGGTTTCTTGGCTTAGTATTAAAGAAAAAGTCCAAAAAAATATTGAATAAATGTTCTACCTTAATGGATCAAAAAATCAATTACTATTTTAAGGCCAAAAGTATTTAATATTTTAAGAAAATAAAATTATATATTATTAATCACTTATTTAAATCATGTACTTTAAAACATGTTAATATTTTTTTATTTTAAATAACAATCACTCTGTCTTGATAAATTTTAATGGTAACTTTTATAACAGTTTATTTTTTTTATTTTTCTTAAATAATTTACTGATTTAAAAAATAAATGTAAAGCAAAACTAAAAACCAAATCTAAAAATTAAAATCCAAAACCAAAAACTGAAACGCATGTTATATTTTTTCTTTTGTTTTGTTTATTTACAAAATAAACTATTGCAATTTTTTTAAATAAAAATTGTCATCTTTTCAGTTTTAAATTAGATGTTCGATTCTTTGGGATTTGTTTGTTGGTAATTATATGTTCAAACTAACTCAGCGGATCTAAAAGCTAAAAACCCAAACCAAAAGCTGAAAATCAAAAGGGAGAATTTCAATTATACCACTTTGGTGGTACCACTTTTCATGTTTACCATCAACAAAAGAACATTTTCAAAAATACACATTTTATTAAAGGATAAAACACCCTTATATCTTTGTTCTTTATATATATACATAAAATAAATATTAAATAAAATATTAACCCTAAACCCTAAAACATCAATTCTAAACTCTAGGCCCTAAAAAGTAAACCCTAAACCCTAAAAATCAATCCTAAACCCTAAAATATCAATTCTAAACCTTAAACCCTAAACTCTAAACCCTAAAAAGTAAACCCTAAACCCTAAAAAATCAAAACTAAACCCTAAACTATCAATCCTAAACCCAAAACCCTAAACCCTAAATTATAATAGTATTTTGACAATTAAAATTTTAATGGTAAAGTTGGTTAGTGTAAAGTTAAAAAGTGGTATCTTGAAAGTGTTATTTCTGGCAATTTCCCAAATCAAAACTAGAAACTTAAAAATTAAAAACCAAAAACCAAAATCTAAAACCAAATCTAAAAGTAAAAACTGAAACTAAAAACTAATGCAAAACAATCATCACCACAAATTTTGGATTACTGATTTTATACCAAAACATACTTTAAATAAAGACAAAACCTAATTATATAAAATTTTAATCAAAAAATAATTTCCGCGCTTTCAAGCGCGGGTCAAAATCTAGTTAACTTTAAAGCCAAGTCTTTAACTTTACCCATCTCAGGAGGAATGTGTTAAATGTGTGCACTGACCAACCAAAGTCTGCAATCTTGAGCTCACCCTGATATTTAAAAGTCCACCAACATTGTTATTAAGTTTGGTTTCAGATTAAATACCAATGCAAAAAAAAAAAAAACAGTATAAACTTGTCTAACCTGAGCATCGATTAACAGATTTTCTGTTTTGATATTTCTTTGTATCACATGCTTGCCATGGCAATAGATGAGAGCCCTCACCAATGATGCAACATACTATCAAAGTAGACATATAAAGATGTCAGTTTTTCACAAAAAAAAAAAAAAAATCGACTTGACTGTTGAAGGAAGGGAGACTAACAGTAGCAGCTCGTCTCTCGCTGAAGTATTTGCATTTCTGAAGCTCCTTGTAAAGCTTGCCTCTAGCAGCATACTAAGGTATAAAAAAAAAACCCTTTTCTGCAACAAAAACCAATAAAGTGTATTATGCTCAAAAAAGGTGGTTCATGTCAACAAAAAGAGCAAAGAAGCGGTTAAGTTTTACATGGTCATAGAAGTAACCATAGAGCCAGAATATATTGGGGTTACTAAGATGCCACTGAATCTCAACTTCTCTTCTTAACTGATGCTCAACTTGAGATTGTTGAAGCTTAGTCTTGAGAACCAAAGAACATAATAAACCCAAACTATTATTTTTTTATTAAAGTGAATGACAAACCTTGAGGATTCATCTTAGGCATCTGCTTGCCGCTCAAATTCTGATGGATCTTTGAGATGTCGTCATCTTCTGTAGAAAACAGAACAATTTAATTTACCCGGGTGATAAACATAGAAGGAAAATGTGATGGGAGAGCATTTAGAAGACCTCACCATGTTGGGTTTAATGACTGGAACATAATAACCATCTCTGCAGTGACGCAAAGAAATAGAGCAGAAATTGATTCGCCAGGGGGTGTAATAAAAAGATTTTTCTTTGATTCGGAGTGAGCAAAGAGAGAAAGTAGATTGAATATCCTGGAAACATGATGGGGCGGCCATCGCCACACAATTGACATGAGCTCACAAGTTTCTCTGATTCCTCCCTGTGAAAAATATTTTAAAAACCAAACTAATCAAAAACATATGCAAAGAGCAATATGAACAACATCAATTAAAGAAGTTTAATCTAAAATCATAACCTTTAAGGACTTTGGTAGCCGACCAAACTTAACATGGTGTCAAGCTTAAACCCTATTTATTTTCAAGCATCCCATTCTTCCAGCCGATAGAATAGAGACAGAGGTCGACAGTGGTGTCAGTGATGTAAGGTTTATCCCAAGCCATCAAGTGGAACAACAACAACGACGACGGTATATGCCGTTAGCCCCTCCCGGCACCAACGGCTCGATGGTTCTGCCGCTGCATCCTTCTTACACTCCCCTTCTGCCGCCTTCTTCTAATCCTCCGGCCGAGGAACCCCTACTCCCGAAGAAGCCGAGGCGAAGCTCGAGGAGAAGGCACGAAAATGGATGCAGCTGAACTCGAAACGCTATGGCGACAAAAAAATTATTCTTATCTTTTTTTAAAAATAATTACTTTTACATATTTAGAACGTTATAACAAATAAGATGTAGCTTCTGTAGAGTAGGTTTTTGATCTAGGATGGATTTGTTGGATTTTTCTCCATAAGCCAAAATCCAAAATTATGATGCATATTAAGAGTCCAAAAGAGAAGTATAAGGAGAAAGAATTCTTTAGAGTTATGGAGAAAAAGAGAGAAAATTATGGAGTAGAATAATTAATGTTAGAAATTTTGGATTAGGATACTAATTTAGAGAAATCTAGAACATGTTAGAGTTTACTCTTTCATTTGTATAAATAGGGGTGCTTAGCACCATTTGTAATCATCAAGAATCAAGAAGAAAAACATTTGTAAGAGAGAAAGTTCCTAAAAACAAGCCTTTGTAGTAAATTCCTTTCCAAAATGAAAAAAATATTCTTCTTAAATTTCTTAGTTGTCTAAATCCCATCTTCATCTCACAAAGAATATTGGGTGATTTCTCAAGAAGTGGTATCAGAGCTAAGCTCAACAAGATCCAGTGTGATTCAAGATGGAGGCTACCGTTACTGTTAAAGGTGACATGTTCAAACTCACGACGGACAACTACTCATGTTGGAAACCGATGATGGAAGATCACCTTTATTGTAAGGATTTGCATGAACCTATCATCATGAAGGAGAAGCCGGAAGGAAATGATGACAAAACATGGGAAATACTAAACCTAAAGGCGGTTGCTGTAATCCGTAAGTATATTGACCAATCTCTCTTTGAACATGTCTCTACCTACACAAATGATTTTGAATTATGGAGAAAACTTGAATCCATGATTCAAAAGAAAACGCCTCGAAACAAAGCTCTTCTTGTTCGACGGTTGGTAAAGTTGGAGTACAAAGATGGCCAAAGCATGATGGAGCACTTGAATAATTTCCAGGGCTTCGTAAATCAGCTTAACAAAGTTGATATGAAGGTTGAAGAGGAAATCCAAGCCCTTTTACTCCTTAGTTCACTACCAGAGAGTTGGGAAACACTAGTTGTGACCCTAAGTAATTCAGCACCGGAGGGAAAGCTTACCATGGATACCGTCACTGATAGCCTTTTGAACGAAGAAGTTCGCAGGAAGGAGCGAGGTTCGAGCTCTTATTCAGAAGCTAACATCATTGATAGACGAGGTAGGGAAGAGACTCGTGTTCACAACAGAAGCAGAGGACGAGACCAATCTTGAAGAAGATCCAAGTCACGTCCAAGAGTTACCTGCTACTATTGTGGCAAGCAGGGCCACATGAAATCAAAGTGTCAGTTTTTCAAGAAAGATCAACAAGCTGGTAATATCAAACTGGACCAGTTCAATCCTCAGAAGAAGCATGAAGACAAGACAACCACCATTGTTGAAAACCAGAGTGAAGATTTATATCTCGTTGGAGAATGTAATCTTACCTCTGATGATAGCTCATGGATCGTTGATTCTGGTGCTTCTTTTCACGTCACCCCTCATGGAAGCTTCTTCACAACCTACCAAAGTGGTGACTTTGGCAATGTTTAAATGTGAAATCAAGGAAGAAGATCGTTGGAAAGGGGGATGTTATTCTTACATCAAATACTGGATGTAAGATAATTCTCAATGATGTGAGGCATGTTCCTGACATGAGACTCAATCTCATATCAACCGGAAAGCTCGATGATGCCGGTTTTGATAACCATTTTGGTTGAGGAAAATGGAAGTTAACCAAAGGAATTTTGATTATGGCTCGAGGAAGAAAAGAAGGATCACTTTATGTGACACAAGCCAAGCTATGTAAGGAAGAAGTAAACGTCGAAAGTACTAACATGGAGATATGGCATCATAGACTTGGGCATATGAGTGAGAAAGGTTTAAATATACTTTCTCGCAAGAAACTTCTTCCTGACATGAAAGGTACGTATCTTTCACCATGTCATGATTGCTTAGCCGGAAAACAACATAGAGTCATTTTCCGAAGATCATCTACACCTATGAGAAGGAATCATATCCTTGATCTTGTGCATACTGACGTATGCTTCATGACTGAGAAATCCAATGGAGGGGCATCATATTTTGTCACCTTTATTGATGACCATTCAAGAAAGATAAGACAAAATATCAAGTTCTAGATGCTTTCAATGAGTTTGTAGCCCAAGCTGAACGAAGTACGGGTCAAAAAATCAAGTGTGTTCGATCAGAAAATGGTGGAGAGTACATGGGTCCTTTTGAAGCATTTTGTAAAGCTCATGGAATCAGAATGGAGAAGACACCACCAAAGACGCCACAATTGAATGGGCTAGCTGAAAGAATGAATCTAACAATCATAGAAAGAGTTCGATGCATGCTCTCACATGCTAAACTACCAAAGCAATTTTGCGGAGAAGCTTTAAAGACTGCAGTAGATATCATCAATCTTACACCATCAGTTCCTTTAGAAGGCGATATCCCAGAGGAAGTTTGGTCGGGTAAAAAGGTCTCTTACAACCATCTGAAGGCGTTCGGGTGCAGAGCGTTCGTCCACATTCCTAAGGATGAACAAGCCAAGCTAGACTCCAAAAAAAAAAGAGTGCATCTACTTTGGCTCACCAAAGGACGATTTCGGCTATCGGCTTTGGGATCCGGTTAACAGAAAAGTTATTCGTAGCAGAGATGTCGTTTTCTTCGAAGATCAAACAATTGAAGACATCAACAAATCAAAGAAACCAAAGCTAAGGGTTGTAAGGAATGAAGATTCTCATAAGCCCCAAGATCATGAACAAGTAATTGGAGATGATGGCGAAGGGGAACCCATCATGATCCAAATGGTCATGAAAATGAAGAAGAAGATCAAGTGGAGCCAGAGGAAGAACATGAGCCAAGAAGGTCTGGAAGAGAGACAAGACCATCTGTAAGATATTATCGAGATGAGTATGTTAATCTTACAGATGAGGGGGAGCCTCAAAGCTATGAGGAGGCCATAGGAGACACTCATAGAGATGAATGGGTTGAAGTTATGCAAGATGAAATGCAATCCTTGCATGATAATCACACTTATGAGCTGATGAAGCTACCAAAAGGAAAGAGAGCCTTGAAGAACAAGTGGGTGCACAGGTTGAAGTATGAGGAGAGAAGCTCAAATCCAAGATACAAATCCCCTTTGGTTTTGAAAGGATTCAACCAGAAAAAAGTCATATATTTTGAAGAAATATTCTCTCCAGTGGTGAAGATGTCCTCTATTCGAGTGGTTCTTGGTCTAGCAGCGGTTCTGGACTTAGAGATTGAACAACTCGATGTCAAGACGGCTTTTTTACATGGTCAACTTGAGGAGGAGATCTATATGGAGCAACTTGAAGGATTCAAGGTTCCAGGAAAACAAGACTTGGTTTGCCGACTAAAGAAGAGTCTTTATGGCCTCAAGCAAGCCCCAAGAAAATGGTACAAGAAGTTTGACTCCTTCATGGTGGATCATAAATTCAAGAAAACCAAGAATGATCACTGCGTTTTCATAAAGAGGTACGCAAGCGGCGAATTTCTCATTGTAATGCTATATGTTGATGATATGTTAATTGTGGGCCAAGATCGTAACCAGATAGTCGCATTGAAGAAAGATTTGGGAAAATGTTTTGCAATGAAAGATCTGGGCAAGTGAGACAGATTCTTGGAATGAAGATCACTCATGACAGACCAAAGAAGCTTTTATGGTTGTCCCAAGAACGATATGTTGAAAATGTGCTAGAGAGATTCAACATGCACAAAGCAAAGTGATATCTTGCATATTTGCATTGTTTTGATCATCCATTCTTGCACATTTTGATCATTTAGTATAGCATTTAGATATGTTTAGGTTGCATTCTATTTCATATGTCCTTATTAGGGGATGAAGATACCAAGTGGTGACTTTGGAGGCAAGATGGATGTTTTGGAGGCAAGATTGATGTTTTGGAGGGATTTCATGGAGTTTCAAGTGTCTCAGCGGTCAGATGGAGCTGTTTCGAGCAGTCGTTGTGGCCACAAACAGCTCGGAAATAACCCAAGTCCATGTCCAATTTCTGGACTATGCAGCGGCCATGAGACGAATGTGGGAAACAGCTAAGCGCCACAGCTGCCTTGTGGAGCTGTCACAACAAACAGCTGCGAGCGTTCAGAAAGTCAACATACGAAGTTTGACCAGACATATTTACCATTGTACCCTCCTTTTCCAGCTTCTATAAATACTTTGTAAACCTAATTTCAGATCTTATCTTCTTTTCTTTCTAAGAACACATTGAAACCTTAAAGAAATATTGAATCTTTAGTTTCTTTTCTTCTTATTTCTTTGTGATTGTTTGATTAAACTTGCTTCTCAACATGATTTCT